TTCAACGATGGCCTTATCAATCTCGTAATATCTTATCCGAGAGTGACTGTGCCTATCTCCCCCCTCTCCAGCTCTCGGCAATCTGTTATCCGCATGAAAATCGACCGAAAATCCCCGCGTCACCACTTGTCCGGGTTTCTTTTTATTAATGGGGATTTTATGATCAATCTGCGGCTGGGAGGAAGTCTTTCATTATGGGAGATCTAGGGTTTCTGCTGGAAATTCGGCGGGCGGGGGAGAATATTGTCGGGCACATTTCGGGGAGAATTTTGATGGGTTTAGCGACAGTTTTTGGGAGTTTTTGTCATGTTGGAGATTTATGGAAATTTAAGGAGTAGTTCAAGACAATTATTTTTAATAATGAAAATTAAGAATTAATATTTGGAAAATTGCGGTGAATATTCTCTTGAATTTTCAGTAATGGCTCCTGGAGAATTTTGAAATATTTAACAATGAGTACAATGTTAAAAATTTTTGACTGAAAATACAAACATTCATGAGATAATGAATGGAAAACGGGAATTTCAGGTCAACTAATTCATGGAAATTGACAGAAATCTGGAAAATTCAAGTGTATTCAAGTATTCTTGAATTTTCATTTGCTTCAATTAAGCAAATGTAAAGTCCAATTTCCATCACAAATTTGAAAGTCCAAGCGATACCATAAAAAAATCAAATCCATTAGATTTCCAAAATGAATAGTAAATTTCGCGGACCTTACTCTTACTCTTGGATCACAAAAAAATTCCCTACTATTCCCCTCATTCAGAAGGAACATTCAAATCAATTTCCAAATTACTCAAACGTCACAAGAACTCAAGGCACTAATTAAGCCCTCAGAATAAATATTCCGCCCCCGGGCTATCTCAAAAAACAATCTCCCGATATTTCATTGTTAATTACCTCCTCCACCTCTGGAAATCATTACCCAGCTGTTTGAGCTTTGAAGTTGCTCCAGATAATCCTGAAAGAAAACGAAAAATCGTGAAAAAAACATGACGAAACTGGGGGAAAAAAATTCGCCTAATGAATGCATCTCGCGTATCTCCGGGAACAGAGTTGTTTAGGTGTTTTCGGTTATAAAAGGAGTCCATGTGAAAGAGTGAGTAACGTAGGCACTGCGTGTACATAACGCAAAAGGGACAGAGAGAGGGGCGAGGGGGAGGCAGAGAGGTTCAAGTGGTATATCCACAGGTAGTTGACTTTGCTGGCCGTGTTTTCTGGGAGCAAAGATTCGCAACTGGTGTGCATTCGCCCGCGCGCACGCCCATTCCCCCCTGTCTCCCCTCCCCGCACCCCCTTTAACGCCATACCTCCCGCATGTATAGGTGTTGAAACGTATTTATGTGTATGCGAGGGGGTTATTTTCACCGCTGAAAAACCCAAAATCCCGGACCTCGAAAAACCAGGATTTACGAGTAACTCCTGGTGGACTCGACAACAAATAAAACCGGAATGGTGAATTTGTCACGTGAATTCATCACCATAAACGCTGATATTTGTCCTCGAAAAATCCCCGAGATACGGAGAATGAAGAAAAATACAAGAAAAATGGGGACGTGAGGTTTTTTCTCACGTCACACGAATACTCAAGATTTACTTGTAAATTTGGCAATATTGTGGGCTCCTACACAATGACAATTAGAAATAGTTTACAGTTTCAGTTTAATACTAAACATTGGTTACATCAAGGTAGGGGATCTCCATATATTTTTTAAGTTCATACAAAAATTAAGTGCTGTAATGAACTTGTCGGTTATGCTTTGACATTTCAGTTCTGTTTAAATGTGATGTAAGCTGACTAATGTGACAATTCCATGGACGTTGTAATTATTGAGATGAACTCATTTTCTAAAAAATACAAGAGCATAAAACCCGTGAAAACACACCACCTAGAAATCCCCAAAAATTTTCTCATTCGTAAATAAAAATCAATTGTGATTCCGATAGTCACGCAATTCCCTCAATTCCCTTCACCAACGAAAATAAACATTAAGCACAAAGTAGATAGTCTTTCGTGCATAATGATGCATTAATAATTCAGCCCGAGCAGAGGGTTATATCCGTATTGTTACCATCGTGAGTCGCAGTTCCGTGTTGACCCCGAAGGGATGAAACGACTAAAAAAAAATATAAATAAATAAAACAACGTGAAACATTGACCCTTTAAATCCCCCAGCCCCCTGCGACAGAATAAAACAACATATCCCTCTTCTCCTGCCCTTTAAACCGTTCAGTTTCGTCTAAATATGGTCTATGAACTCTGTTCATGTCTTTCTAAAGCCTGATGGAGCTAAAATAATCAGCGAAACGTCGCACCAAAATCCCTTGACCTATCTTCATAATTATTAACATAACGAAGACGATCACTTTTATCAAAAAATGCAAGACCATAAAACCCGTAAAAACACCACCTAAAACCCCCTAAAATTTTCTCATTCGTAAATAAAAATCAATTGTGCTCCGATAGTCACGCAATTCCCTCAACCGCCGAAAATAAACATTAAGCGCAAAGTAGATAGTCTTTCGTGCATAACAATGCATTAACAATCCCCCGAGCAGAGGGTTATATCCGTACCATTACCACCGTGAAGAACACTTCCGCGTTGACCCCCAATGCCCGAAACAACCGAAGAAAAATAAAAAAATAAAGCAACACGAAACATTGACCCTTTAAATCCCCC